ATTTGGAAGCTTCGTATAACGAAATGCTAATGATTCTGGCCTGCTCCTGTCTGAGCTATTGGGATGGGAAGGGAAATCAAGACACCCCTCCCCTCCCTGAATGGGACACGAATGATCTGTAATAACAGCACTTAGCAGATCTTAGCAGCATCCGCCCCACGGGGAGACGTGCAGCAGGAATTATCTCCTCCTGCACACTGGAAAAATGAACAAAGGTGTTGATCTTACAGGGACCCCTCCTGTGGAATGTCTTTGCAGGATCCGGGCCAGGGAGAGGCCAGGTGATGGGACAAGAACTGGGAATGCCTATTTTCTGTTCCTGGGCCTGCTGCGCGCCAGCAGCAATACCCAATGAGAATACTGCAGCTCCTTGCAGCCATGAAACACACTCTGCATTCGAGTCTATATTCTCACTGTCTTTTCTTTGACTGTGCACTCGATCCTGCAAGATCCTATGTGCCCTCAGCTCCCATTGAAACCAGTGGATGCTGAAGGGGCCCTTGGCCTGGGTCCTTGGCGTGCTAATGTTCCCACTGATGATACGCAACGGGCGACTTTCTAAAGAGAGGGATGCACAGTAATGGAGGCCTGCCCCGATCCCAAACGACTCACCACGCTCCTGCTCCAGCCGGGGCTGAGGAATCTCTGCCTGTGATCCGGGTGCAGAGCTCCAGGCAGTGTGAACCGCACTGACCCGGGCTGAGACACAGGGATATTTATACTGCCTCCCTGGGAATCCCAGCGGGGCTCTGAGCCACCAGAGAGCCCCCGGGTCTCACCAGTTTCCGCATCAGCCTCATGCAGGTGCGATCTTTAAACAGGGGATTTCCCAGTGTTTGTCTGAACGATATTCCTGAAGGCTTTGCCCATCGCCAGCCCAAACGCCCAGGCTCTGGCTGTTATTTCTCACGGGGAGCAGGGGAGCACGTACAAGCCCTAACGGGGATCAGGGCGCTGCTGCACTGGGCTGGACACATACGGTGAGAGCAGCTCCTGCCCCAGAGAGCTCTCAACCTAAACAAAGGGTGGGAGCAAAGAAGTCACATTGCCCCCAGTTTGTAGGTGGGGAACGGAGCTCCAGGGACGCTAAGTGACTCACCCAAGGCCACACAGGAAGTCTGTGGCAGAACCAGGAATTGAATCCAGGCCTCCCAAGTCCCACCCCAGAGCCGTAATCACAAGCCCATTCTTCCTCTCTGAGAGCGTGTCACAGGGTGCTCTGCTTGCCCCTAGGGGCGCCTCCTTCTGGCCATGTCTGGGGATTAGCTCTGCCAGGCCCAGGCCCCTTCCTACAATTGCTCAGCGGACTGGGGCTTTGTAGACGTTTGGCCTCTGTGAGTCCCTTCCCCCCCAGGGGTCTCGGAGCTTGGGGTTCAGCTAGCCCAGACAGAGCCCCACAGCGAGCCCCAGTCAGCCACAGGGGGCAGCCAGCTTTAAATGCTGTGTAGACCCACACCCACATCCCTGCCAGCAAGTGGCACACAGCAGCTGCTCCCCTAGGTGGCTGTGCAGGCCAGTCCCTCCCTGCAGGAGATGCATGTCCGCTAGTGTGTTTTGGGGCATGTCTCTGTCAGTGCATCTGGGGGCAATGCACTGGGGTTGGTCTGGCCTCTGCCACTGACATGGCCACTGCAACCCACCGAGTCAGCGGGGCACATTAGGAGCCTGCCAGCAGCCAGGCATCGCTGTGCGCAAAGCCTGGCACTTCGCATTGGCGGGTGCCGCCCAGAGTCTGCAAAAACTAAGTGGGTCTGATGGTCTCATAAACAGATAGTTAAGGGTTAATGCCTCTTTTACCTGTAAAAGGTTAAGAAGTTCACCTAGCCTAGCTGACACCTGACCAGAGGAACCAAGGGGGCGGGGGACAAGGTGGTTCAAAAGGAAGGAAGGAAGTTCCCTTTGTTTAGTTTCAGTTTTAAGTTTTGACCGGAGTGGGAAAGCTCCAGAATTCAGCCTCTTATCAAGTAGTGAGTATTAGTGAAGGAAATAAATAGGTTTATGTTTATTTTCTTTCTAACTTGTCTTGGACATTAGGGAATAATCATATTGGGTATGTTTTGTGTAACTAAGTTTTTGCCCAGGGGGACATCCTCTGTGTTTGGAATCTGTTGTCTGTGAGAGTAGCTGGTATGCTAATCTCTCCCAGAGGGTTTTCTTTTACCTTTCTTTTCTTTAGTTAAGAGCCTTCTTTTTAAGAACCTGATTGATTTTTCCTTGTTTTAAGATCCAAGGGGGTTGGATCTGGGCTCACCAGGAATTGGTGGGGGAAAGGAGGGGGGATGGTTACATTCTCCTTGTGTTAAGATCCTAGGGTTTGGATTGGTGTTCACCAGGAAATTGGTGAAGAAGTCTCTCAAGGCTACCCAGGGAAAGGAGTTAAAACTTGGGAGTGGTGGCAGCAAAACCAGATCTAAGTTGGTAATTCAGTTCAGAGGTTCACATGCAGGTCCCCATTTCTGTACTCTAAAGTCCAGAGTGGGGGAGAAACCGATGACAGATGGTGCCAACACCATGGGCAGCACAAAAGGGCCTGGCAACAGGGAACGCATAACTTCCCTAGCTCTGATGTTCCTGCACCAGAACAACTAGGCCCTGGCTCTGGTAATCTCCCTCACGACCATATACAGACCCTTTAGATTTCAAATAAAGGACAACTTGGAAATTATTGGAGAAAGTCTATTTTTAAGGGCACCCCCCGATGTTTGATTTGTGACCCACACTCATATACAAAGAACCGATTGTATTACAGTGTCCAATCCTTTGCATGATTACTGGAGTTTACAAGACAATATTTATTGATTTGATGTGTAATGTGGAACACTGGGCCCCCAACAAAGGACAGGTGGTGACGCCGTGTGTGACATTGTAACATATTTCCTCTCCAACTGCTTTGGGACAAATCTGGGACACGATACAGGTGAAAAAACTTGAAACGAAGAACACTAGAGAATCTCTTGGTTAGCAGGATGATAGAACAGGGAGGGGTCAGTTTCTGCAGACAGTGGCTGCAGCACTACGGGATCCCCTACCAGGAGAGTTAGCTGAAGGCAAGAAAAATCAAGCCCCTGCAATAGTCTCTGTTAGGATATAGATATTCAGGCCTGTCTGCAAAGGCCTAGACTTTATGAATTTAGGTGTATTCTTATCACGTAGCTAGTTATAGAGGTATAAAAGAAAGAATCT